CCGCTCCACCTCCACCTCCACCTCGCCGCAGCCAGGCAGATAAACCAAATAGATTGTGCCTTGTTGCCAGACACAATTGCATCAGGCTCATACCATTCATGTCAAGCTTGATACCAGTTTCTCCACACAGTTACATAATAGAGGGAAGGCATTTTAAAAACAATGCATTCGTTTTACAGAAAGTCACATGTCTGTAACTAATGTCGCACTGGACTACATTTATTTCCTTGAGACTTATCATTACACTAAGTTAACCAACTGGATTTTTTGTGTTTGATGCTTTCGGAGAGATTTCTGTTTCACACAGGATGAGTAATATAAACACACACAACACATTTGAGGTTAAGAAATATGTGGGTAAAGACAAAACGAGGGGGTGGAGGAATTAAAGTTGGGCCTCTGTGTAATTCGGTGGGTTCAGCAGGTATGCCAAAAGGCTATTCCAGTAGGCAAGGATCCATTGTGGAGCATGCCACTCCCTTTGCTCTTTGTCCCCCCTTTCTTATCATAAGGAATTGTAAATGCCAAAAAATGCCAACAAGACACTCAGGTACATCCTTTTCTTTCCATTGCAGATTTGTGTGGTGTGGTAGACAAAAACTTGATCTTTTTATTCATTTTAAAGCTGCAGCAGTAACAGAACTAAGCAATGACATCTACCTTTTAACAGGGCAAAGTTGTAACACAGAAACCTGAAGCTGAAACTAAAGCTCCACCCTTGTAACCGACTCAAGGTGGTAACCTCTACCAGGCTAAACATTATCAGAAAGCGTTCTTTGCCAAACTGTGTGCAAACCGAAAGTAGGTAACCACAGCAAAGCTGAACATGGCCGATTACTAGTCAGACCGGCTTCACCTTCATAACAAATCTAAAGAATAACCTTTTTGTGTTGTCGAACTATTTGTCAGGCCCACGTGAAAAAGTATTCACGCCTTCATAATGTCTTAGCTTTTCGTTGCATACGAATATGACAAAGATAACTCAAATGAATTTTTAAATGATGATTTAAACGATTAAGGGTAAAAATGTATCGGCCATGGTCGAATTCTTTCTCCAAGTCCATTCCACCACTCTTCGAGAAAATAAGGCTTTTGTGGCAGTTCTTTAGATGTTGTTCTGGACCTCCGGATCTCCTGGATGAGTCGTTGATGCCCTCTTGGAGTAAGAGCATTTGGTAGGTCGTCTATTTCTGTGAAGGTTCACTACTGTTCCACGTTTTCTCCATTTGCGGACAATGTCTCTCACTGTGGTTCAGTGGAGTCCCAAAGCCTTAGAAATGTCTTTGTCTCTCCAGGCTGACAAACCATTTCTTCAGATCGTAACATGATGTGTTGCTTTTTGAGATGTTTTAGCCTCCTTCGGTTTATTGGACAGGTTCTATATAAGTAGAGTCTTGATTCAACAGGCCTGGCAGTAACCAGTGAAATTAAAACTAAACCTTGGGGATTATGGGGATACTTTTTCACATGGGCCTCAATACGTTTGGATAACTTCTTTTTCTTAGTAAATGATCATCATTTAAAAACAGCATTTTGGTCATCTTAATTATCACATTTGTTTCACAATTTGAAACATTTAAGTGGCTTAAATATGCAAAAGGGGCAGCACGGTGGCACGGTGGTTAGCACTGTTGCCGCACAGCAAGAAGGTCCTGAGTTCAATTCCAACATCAGGCCGGGGTCTTTCTGTGTGGAGTTTGCATGTTCTCCCCGTGTTTGCGTGGGTTTCCTCCGGGTACTCCGGCTTCCTCCCACCGTCCAAAGACATGCAGCTTGTGGGGATAGGTTAATTGGATAATCCAAATTGCCACTAGGTGTGAATGTGCGAATGAATGTGAGTGCGAATGGTTGTCTGTCTCTGTGTGTTGGCCCTGCGACAGACTGGCGACCTGTCCAGGGTGTACCCTGCCTCTCGCCCTATGACAGCTGGGATAGGCTCCAGCACCCCCCGCGACCCTGAAAAGGATAAGCGGAAGCGAATGGATGGATGGATGGAATATGCAAAAAGAAATCAAAAGGGGGGCAACAACTTTTTCACAGCACTATGCTTTCTTGACAATGGCATATTTACACCTAGAAGTCATAAATTTGCAGCTGTTGTCAGAGAGTGAGTAACCAGCGTGGGGGACCTTGGAAATAAAAAAGATACATGTGTTTGGAAGCTCGCCACATCCTATTTTTAACTGGATCCAAAATCAGAATGTCAAAATGAAACTGAAAGTGAACCACACCTCAAACACCAACTCAAGTCCTGGCAGGAATAAAGCCTGGAGCAGGCTTTCTGTTTCCAAACAGACCAAACTGAAAACACCAGAGGATAAATATTTGTCCCTGCCCTGTGCTGACGCCTGAATGAAAACAGCTTTTGTTCCTGTAATCCTGGGCATTTCATATAAATGATAAATTATAGAAGGAAAAAGAAGGAAAACCAGTGAAAGTTAGAAGCATCTGAACAGAAGCTTAAATGAAACTTACCACAGTGTGACTCCACAGTGTCCTTTATGCCTGTTATTCCATCTATGTCCCAGGTTGCTGTTCCATAAACATTTTCGGTGACCCCTGCCATCATGTCATCTTCCGCTGTAACTGAAGCATCTTGTGGTGCAAACGAGGGACTCAAATGTTGAAAGGTAAATTGTGCAAGTGCCGAACCTGCGCCACACTCAGGCAGACAACACAGGTCGTCTGCAGTTTCGCCTGGCCACCACGCATCCAGGAGGCCCCCCATATTGTCTGTGACGTTGTTGTTTGAGTCTGTGGCTTCACAGGCTTCCACAGGTGATGCATTTCCTCCTTCTTCGAAAGTTTTAAAGGGATCCATGCAGATTCCAGGTGTCGCCACCTCATCATATAAAGGGTAACAGAACTCCTCAGGTGTGTCCTCAGCATCCAGCGTGAAGCTTGCGTTAAAGTTGCCGGTGCACGCACCGAGTGTCCTGCAAGCGGCTGCAAGCTCCATTTCCTCTTCCAGATCTAAAATAGCACATTGTGCTTCGCCGTATGTCACTGTGTTATCACTAGTTGAACATCCAGTTGTGTTATAATAAACTAAAGGCTGTAACATCCTCCTTCCTTTGTCCCAGTGCTGCCACAGAGGTACAGCTATCCGCCTAGCAGCCTCTTCAATCTGCTCGAACCACTCCCTCTCAATCTCCAAATTCCCCTGATTTACCCTTTCACTATCACTTACCAGCTTCTGCATTGAAGGTGCACTTGTCAGCAGTTCAGTTATTTCATCACTTAATGAAAGTCTGCCATCAAACACTGTGGGTACAGAGTAGAGCCTTTGTGTGGGGTAGTGTTCGTCCATTGCTGTCCCCTCCCTCAATTCCTGAATGAGTTTATCTCTGGAAATAACTTGATCCTCATATAGTGAGCAAGTCTCTGGCTCCAGTCTTGTGCTGTAATGATCATCCACTGATGGGACAAACTTTGATCCTGCCAGGTGGTAGTCAACGGAGGGAGACTGTGACCCACCTTTCCCTACCTTAATGAGCGGTCCATGGCTGAGATGCTGGTGGGTGCTAGATGCTCGAGAAGCAAATACCCCATCGGCCTCATCAGATCCCGGTATACACCCTGATTCCCCGCAAAGCAGCTCCGGCGCAAGCCCATCAGTGAATCGATGCAGACCCAAGCTCTTGCTGTACGCTTCTGAGATTATCTGCTCCTCCACCAGACCCTCCAGCAGAGCTCGGATCTGAGCAGGTGAAGCCCAGGTCAGAGCCGAGCGGACTTCGTCCAGGACCTCCTCAAAACGAGCCATGACAACAGTGTCGGCTCCCTGGGCATGGAGGACTAACAATAGAAGCAGCGTATTGGAGTTATTTGAGTTTGTTCTTTATTTTTAAAGAGACTCGGTGATTTTATCCGGGAGGCGGTCGCATGAATGGTAGGAGGTGTTATTTCCCAAAGCCAGAAATGTTATTATTGGTATCATAAGGAAGTGAAGTTACACAAGAAAAGGAATCTGATCGAAGACATTATGGCAGTCTCAAACTTTCATCATCACACATTTTATCTTTAAGCAAAGTTAAAGTCCTTTTTTTTAACAGCTGGTTTAATATTTTGCACAAATTCGATTACATGGCTGTCATGTTTCTGCTTTTTCATGTTAAGAAAGAGGCAGTGCCACATTGCACACTTTCTTCTGCACAAGTGGGCTGTTTTTCAGCTCAATCACATGCGATAAATTTTATTAAACTATTTAGTTATGATTTGGGGACTTAATCACCAAATAATCTCCAAGGCTGCACATTTACCTATTTGTCCCCTTAAGCTCATAAACAGAACCCCCCCCACCTCCCGAATAAATGTAAAGCCTTCTCTGCGGGTCACATTGTGAATGCGAAGGTGCAGTCTTTGTGTTTTATGCACCATACTGTGAAGTTTTTTGGCAGGGACTAGAACCGGTTTGGCAAAATGTGACCATGTTTAGCATTGCTCATTTGCTTAGTAGAAATTGCGCTGCACCTTCTTTCTGTACCTGAGGAGCCAGTTTGTTGTTAAGTAATTGGGAGTCAAATGGTCTTATTGTTTATTGGTGATAATGATTTTTTTTTAAATAATGGAAGAAAAAGCAGTTTTACCAACTTTGTCTCACCTTTCCAACCGTTTCCTGGAGTGTTTTATTATGAGTAAATCTAACTTTACTCACAAGCTAAAGGTGAAGCTTTTCAGGTATGCTTTATAATAAAGATATTACTCTTTTATGTATCATAACTGTGGGAAAGACATTAGCTATACAAGTGTGGTTATGATTGTTTTGTCTGCTTGCAGGATGCAGATACAGTTTCACATGTATTTTCTGCTTAGCTCTGGAGGAACTACAAGTGTGGAGAGTGTAGTGCACATAAGGACACAAACACACACACAGACTGTGAAACAAAAATTTCCAAACCAGTATGGTCAGTACACACCTGGCAAACCTGATGCCACACCACTGATACTAAAACAATTCAAAGAGCCAACAAACAAAGAAATAATTTGAATACTACAACGCAAATGAAGCGTGTTTAATGAATGGATGCTGTTTTCATTTGGTCATCGGTCACATCAATAATTAGACATGAAGATTTTAACACAATTATGAAAAGACCAAATACAACCAGTGGTTCAAATTTGTAAAATGACCACATATTTATGACAGTTGAGAATGTGAAAAATCACCTAACCCTAAATGTAACTTTTGATCTCTGACGCTCGCTTTGAATTGCAAAAGTTGAACTTTGAACATTTTTCAATAAAAAAAACAACTTCTTTTCCTGGAGTTCGATGCCAGCGTTGCCACACAGGTATGAAAATGTATGTACAATTTAAAAATAATTCCAGAAATCTGCAAGTGTACATCTTTAAAAAGTAAAAAACTGTTTGGTTTAGCTGTTCTGTACCTTTAAGCAGCCCCTGCACCATCATCTGTACAGTAATGCACACATATGCACAGATATTGTTAAAATTGCACTTTCTGTTCACAAATGCAAGAAAATGATTTGAAATCAGCATATTAAAAAATAACAACGATGTGCTTTACTACTTTTTTTCCCAGCTTTTAATTTGTTTTCAGCAAATTCGGGTTTTCAGAACCTACCTGTACTTCTTTATACTTCAAAAACAGGAAGTATTTGGAGGGGATAATATAAACAATCTGCTCATTTGAAATGCAGAAGCACCGATATTAATGACGAAATAAAATCCAAGTTATTTTTTTCCTTTGTTGGCAGCTTAATCTGCACTTTGATCACAGTAACCTGATGCCATAAAGAGTTTAAACACAACAAAAAAACCAAATTGCTGACCTCCTCTTAAAACAAACATTACCACACCTGCTCAGGCACTGTGGAATATTTTTATATTCCTTTTCATCTACTGAGGGGATTGACATAATGTACACAAAAGCACCTGAAACAAATGACTCACTCTAAGCAAATACAAGCTTAATGATGCTGTAGGAAAAAAATGGATCCTACAAACGGTATCTTCAGTACAGGCAAAGAGTTTTCTGCTGCATATTTTTTCCTTTTTGCCACCGAGCTTCATTCATCCCACCAAAAACTGATAAAAAACCCATGCAAACGCCAAAAATTGACATCTTGCATGGCCGGGCCTTTACTACCATTAACAGTTTTACTACCGTTTGTCTAACCTGCAGCTGGCAAACAGCCCACGACAAATGTGCTGTTAGTTAAAACTACAGTGCTCAAAATGATATTGCTTTCCTTCAAAACAAACAAAGAAACATACATGTGTAAATCATTGTAAACCCTGACAGCCTCATAAAGATCATTCCATAATGAGTGCATTCATATTCAAAACGGGCACAGGTGCTTATTTGGATTATGACTTTATTTGTTTTATGAAATGGGAAGTAATTTCAGTTTCTACAGACTCTTATTATGTATTCATTTCATTTACTCTCAGTAGTTCTTCAGGAAATACTGCTCTGGCACAGCAGCATCTGATCAATGCATGAAACCTATCACTGAAAACAAAGAATGATAAGATTTCTCTGACTGTCTAACAGAAATGCTGCGATTCTGATATGTACGAGCTCTTGTGCTCTTCGTGTGCCTCTTATTTGGTGCCCGTCTGCCGCCATGTGATCTGCTCCTGTATGGATGCCATCTGATGTGGTCAGGTTGTGTTTTGCTCCTCTGTTTCCCTGTTGGAGCAGTAATCCTGGATGGCTTTGGGGGAAAGAGAAAGAGGAGAGAAGAGAATGATGATGATAAATGAGATTTGATGAAGCTGATAAATAAATGTGCGTCAATTGATGGTTTCCGTGAATCAGCTGCTACGCAAACCGCATTAGACTCCACAAACTTGATCTCATGCTTTAAGCATAATTGAATTTCGATACAACTCCTACTGTTCCTCTTTTGATTGGCTGCTTCCCATTTATACAGCGACCGCTTCCTCTTTCATTGTTTAATCAGGAATTGAGCCGTCAGCTAAATGATCCAGTCATCAAAACCGGCAGGGGTCTTCACTGGAAGGAGGAATACGCCTGACTGTGCATCTAACTTCCTTCTTAAGAAAAATGCAAACTATGACGTATGAGGTGCCAAAGGGTTTGTTTATGATGTGCAAATAAAAGGGTGGGAGTCGTAAAATGCAGAACTCTATACTTGGCACATCTCCTGGATCCCTGCTTTGACTATCTGACCACTGTGTGCATTTACAACTGAGAGAAAACAAAGTCCACATGAAAGCTCTACAGTAACATCCTGAGCGGTGGGGATGGTGTTGACATTGCTGCAAGTGAGCTGAGAGGATTTCTTTTTGGTTCTTGTTGTTTTGGCAACAGTTTCACACCATCTTCCCATTCACCAGTTTTGGCATCCTGTGACTTCGCCCACTTCTCAAAACCTCTATTCTATTTGCAGGATTGCCAGCTGACGGTCAGAAGGGGATTTCCAGGCAAGTCCAGCTGACCTTGACGGCTACACTTAAGTCACACAAGATTTGTTTTGGCCTTTTATGGTTACTGATTATACAATGCTCATTTGTGTGGGTCTCTTTCTAAAAACAAACTCACTTTTCACAATTTTCTGGTAGACTTCCGCAGCGGGGGAGTCGGGCACATCGCTCAGGAAAGACCTGCCCTCGTCACAGCTCCGTGCTATCCTGGGATCTAGAGGCACCTTTCCTAAGAGGGGTAGTTTGAGGTCTGCACACATTTTCTCAGCTCCCCCGGTTGAGGGAGGGAAGATCTGTGACGTATTCTACAAGGAAGAGTTTAAAGAAAAAAAATATGCATGGATCAGCTAGGTACTTTATTAATCTACACATGAGGAATTTGGGATTGATTAACTGTAAACACAACATTTTTCCACTGGAAATTCTAGCTCGAAGCTCAGGCCGTAACCCGAAAAACTAAAACACGCTGCACAGAGAGAGAGCAGATTTAAAAGGGTTGCTTAAATGGCATCTCCCACTCTCCCACATTTTCTTTGAAGTGTGGTGATTTCACTGTTTAGTGATAGGACAGGACGTTGTGGTCCTATTATATCATCTCCTCTAGGCTCAATCTCCCCTCCCAAAAATAAAATGTCAGATGTTGAATAGAAAGGAAACGGCACAAGGCCCTCCCTTAAAGGGATGTAAGAGCCTCGGGAAATTAAATCTAAAAGGAAAAAAACAAGACATAAAAATGTAGAGAAACAGAACTTTGTTGATTTGATTTTGTGCAAGGTGAGCTTGCTTGTGGTTGTGAAAATGAGTGCACTGTATCCTGTTCAGTGTATCTGCAGTATATCTGCACAGGATAGCAGGCGAAGCCTCCTCACAACCTGTTTTTTTTTGTAATGAGCTAAAATAGCACAGATGCGAGCACATATTTCAGACCTCGTTCCTCTTTTCTGTGTGCTCCATTTCTTTACTTACCAGAACTAATCAAGCGTATGCTCGCAGTGCTTGTATACATTTCTCACCAGATTAGATCAGATTTGTAATTTTCTTTGTCAATGTGGTTCTTGTTTTTGCCCAATTATCTTATCCAAAAAAACAAAACAAAAGACAAAAAACATGTAAAATGAACAGAGACATGGATCTGGTGCATTTTTAGCTTATCTGTGTTTTGCACAGGTGTGTGTGTGAGAGTGACCTTGCATTTAGGGCAGACAAAGCCGCTCATGTTCTCCACCACCCCGATGATTGGCATCTTAACCTTCTGACAGAATCGGATCTCCTTTCGCACGTCCTGCAACGACACCTCCTAGACAGACGTGGAAACAGGAACCACAGAAAGAGAAAGGCAAAAGTGAGGGTTGAAGTTTGTGTGTATGTGTGGGTGGGGAGGGGGAGCATACGGTGGACAGGGAGGGGGACGCAGGACGTCTCACACACACACACACACACACAAATCAGTCTGGCTTGTTTGTTTGGTAATTCCCACCGGGTGTGTGTGGTCGGTCGTGGGTTAGTGAGATCAGGCGGAATGAGGAAGTGTGTCTGTTGCTTTCTGACTTCACCGCACTGAGCTTAATCTAAGAAGCAGGAAATTGGTGCTTCATTTCACCAAGTGCAATAAGAACTTTGACACAGCTTATGGTGAGGTCTTCTTAACTGAACACAAGTAGAGTAAGCCACATTTATTGACAAGGCGCTAAATGTTCGCCACACTAGATCCTGGGAAGAATCATCAGCAGGAAACATGACTGACAGAACTCGTACGGCTGCTGGATCACAGTCTTTTTACTGTCTGCATGCAGGACAACATTGGGTTAACCTCCAAGTATTTGTGTGTAAATATCATGATGCCCTGCTGGCAGACATGTTGCTGCCCGTTCAGCAAAAACACCGCCCTGTGCCTATCCTGTCTGTGGCTTTATCACACCAAAATCACCTTTACAAAACAGGTACCAAAAGTACGTGATGTCAGCAGGTGAAGCGAACGGCTTTTGTGCCGAGTTGACTTCCTATTAGATACGAAAATTTATAGGAAACGCGCCGTGGAAGACAACAATAGAAATTATTTTTATTCTGCACAGCACAGTTTGTTGTCTACAAACATGCCTGTAAAAAAACCTGTATAACATTTTATTGTGCGATGGGCTCTCGCTTTTCTTTTTACGATGGTTTCATGATGGAACAGCATCCTCTGTTGGTTGTGGTACGCTAAAAGCATCTCGTGAAATAAAGCAATTCATCTTCATTGACACTCGGCCACAGCGCCATGATTATGTGGAATTGCTTTATTGCCAACAGTAACAGCACCTGCACAACAATTGTCTTTGTCCCTTATAATCCAACCTATTAAACCCTGTCATATCATATTTTTAAAACACTATTTTTGTGCATTAATGTGTGCATTCTAAGAAAATCATTAGTGCGAGTGGATTCACTGTAAAGCCCTTACTCTGGATGATCCACGGACTTGTGCATTTGCTGGTGCAAAATTCAAATTTCATCTGTGTTTACGTTTCATAGTGGGCTGAAAAAGCAGGGGTCTCAAGGACATCCTAAACATGTCAGTATACTGTAAAGCCATAAAGGGGGAGCACCACCAATTCCACAAACCAGCAGCAGCATTAGTCATAACAGAAGGCAGCTGCATACGGCAAGATGCAACGTGCTGAGTTTTTTTTGTGGTAAGCCAGTTGCCTACCTGTGGTTTTCAGAGTCAGTACTACATGACTGAAATGACTCAACTTGTATACAGAAGTTCAGGTTGTTAAAATCATTTGGGGGAAATTTAGGGAATCACCAAGTGAAGTCCGTTGGACTGAAAGCAGACATATCTGTAGGTCAGATTTAAATTTAAGGCTGATAGCAGGTAGTTTTCATAAGTATTTGGATACATGTTTATATATTATTCTTTTTAAAGCTGCAATTGTTAACGTAAAATAGCTGAGCTAAAACTGAGTAGGTTTTTAATAACACTGAAACCTCTGAGTGAGAGTTAGAGAGCTTTTAGGACACACAGCTCGAGCTATGCAGCTAAACGTCGGGCTGCTAAAGTTTCAGTTTCAAATGAGCTCACAGATGGTTCAGAGTTAACTGAAAGATGCTGACGTTTAGCTGCAGGTGTGTGTGCAAGCAATAAAGGGGTATCTTGAAATATAATAACTGGAATTTCCTTGTCTGGTTGTCTTTCTAAGAACTATAACTGACAGCATATTCAAACAAAAATGAGCTTTTCATAAAGTTGGAGGTTTTTTCCTGTGAAAAAGGAGCTTATCGTTCCTGCCGTCGCCAAGTGCTCACTCACATGGGGTCGTTTGATTATTGGGGTTTCTTTCAATAACATCGTTGAGATTTACAGAAATAAAACTGAACTGAATTTCCCCCAAACTGCAAATATAACGGTGTGCAGAAAGAGTTGAACGCGCACGGGCAGAAATGTTGAGAGCGCAAACAACACATTGCAAGCAAGTGCAAATGCAAAAAACTGAGCAAGAGGGGCTGCTATTGTGTGTGTGTGTGTGTGTGTGGATAATAGCAAACACTGAAATACAATTTTGCACGCAGCTATGAATTTTGCTGAAATTCAATCAATTACTCCTCAAAATGCAACACTTGCGCTCAAATTTTTTTTACGTGCCCTCAGAATAGTGGCACAAAAATAACCCCATACTCTAAGCCCTGGATAGCTGAAGTTTTAGCCACTTTGCCTTTCTTATTTCCATGTTCAGCTGGGTGAAGGGGCTTTAAGCATCTGATTAGCATTAGGTTACAAATGTTTTCATGGTGGTCATCCTGGAGTTTGTGTGTCTTCATTGAGCATGACTGCCTATGTGTGAAAACAGACATGAACATGAAACCCAGCGGCTCATAACTGGACATGTATGAGGATGATTGGCTGCTCATCAGTCAAACAACATCTGAGAATGTTTTATAAAAGCAGGTGTGTACAAAGAGGGAAAACCCTAGATTGCACCACAGCAGTGTTTTCAAAGGTTATTGACTTTAAAAAGCTCCCATAGAGCACTTCATATACTAACGTAAACCTGCTCACACTAAAGCCGAGACTTGTACCTGTGGTGTGGTGATGATGATGGCTCCATCAACATGGGTGGCGCTTAGGTACTGGACGATGGACAGGTGTTCGTCAGAGGTGCCGGGTGGAGTGTCTACGATGAGGTAATCCAGTTCCCCCCAGTCCACATCCCTTAAAAACTGCTTAATGATCCCTGATTGGACACAAGCACCACACAGGTTGTTGCTATGTGAGATCTGGAAACGTGAGCATCTCACATACACACATCACATAACCGCACCATTTTTCTTGGGTCCTCTCCAGATCACAGCATCATCGGGACTACTTAGCAGGAAGCCAATAGACATGACTGCCAGGTTGTCCTCCACATACTGCAACACAACGCAGAGGCCCCTGTTTTATTATGCTTAAATAAAGAAAATAATTTTAAAAAGAAATAAATCGTTCAAATCAGCTCACCACAGGGGACCATCCAGAGCCACTCTGGTGAACCTACACAGGAGACGACAGAAAAACAGCTCAATCTTTGTGTCCACGTGAGATTATGATTAAAATGTTGCACCTATATATATATATAACAGCCGTTTCTGACAGCTGCCTACTGACTTACTTGCTCTCCCTCTAAACCCATGATCCTTGGAATGGATGGACCACAGATGTCTACATCAAGCAGGGCAATCTAAAAAAGGAAAAAGAAAGTGGAAGCATGAAAAGTTGGAAGTCCAGTATAATGAAGGCAACTGTCTCCCTAAAGGCTACACAAGGCATTTCCTGTCTGCTTGACTGGGCAACACATCAAAACAATGGGGCTGTATCCTAGCACTAGGAGCCATCCTAAAGCATTGCTTTATCAGCATTTTCTCTGAGGAGCTGCTAAAACTTTGGTGAGTGGAATGTTTTGCGAGGGAGTGTCCAGTTGATCCCCTTACTATGGATGACATCATTGTGAATGAACCTTTGTACTCCAGTGGTTTATGGGTAACAGTCAAAGTTAAAAACTAACTGCTAAGTCTAACATGAGATTTTCTTTCAACTAAGAAATAATGATTTACGCAAACTACACTACGTTTTCATATGTCATGTTCACCTATATTCAGCCTAAAAAACAACTTTATGTAATACAGTGGTTCCTTGCTATAACGCGGTTCCTTTACCTTCGCAGCCTTGCTGTTTCGCAGATTTTCTTTGTGCAATTTTGCATGCTTTTTCCCCCAGCGGACTATGTTCTGTGTCGTGATTGGCTGTAGCCATTGTCACTCAATCTCGTGCCGTGTCTCCTCTACAGTACAGAATGCGTTCAGCTTGTCAAATTTACATAAATCTTCGATCGCCAGCAGTGTGACTCTGAAGTGCTGCACTGTATGTTTGTAAGTTTTCTCCCCAACAAACACAACAGCGTCGACGAAACGTTTTGCACCGTCAAAGGCAACCGCGGGTGCCTTTGGTTTCATTCTATAATACTGAAGTTATTTTTCCGAGGTTTGAAAGTGTTTAAACAAGAGAGAAAAGTGTGAAAATGTTCATGCCATCCTGTATCAACAGTGTAGTGACAGGTTTCACAGCCTTAAAACATCTATAATAATTGTTAAAAATAAAGTTGGCTACTTTGCAGATTTCACCTATTGCGGGTTATTTTCCAAACATAACTCCCGCAATAAACGAGAGACCACAACAGAAACTGCGCACATCATGCCATTGGCGCAGGAGGTTGGGAAGCGCATCTGTAACCAGAAGGTCACCGGTTCAATCCCCGGGCTCTCTGTCCTGGTTGTGTCCTTGTGCAAGACACTTCACCTACCGCCTACTGGTGTTGGCCAGAGGGGCTGATGGCGCGATATGGCAGCCTCGCTTCTGTCAGTCTGCCCCAGGGCAGCTGTGGCTACAACTGTAGTATGCCTCCACCAGTGTGTGAATGTGAGAGTGAATGAATAATGGAATTGTAAAGCGCTTTTCTGCCTTGAAAAGCACTATATAAATCCAATCCATTATTATTATTAAGTACATTCAGGTCTGAAGAGCAGGTTTTGGTTTGATCATTAATTCTGGCAAACTGCACAGATATTGCAAATTCATCAAAGTATTTTAAGCCGTGCAGATTTAAGGAAAGCAACATCTCTGGTATCACTGGATTGCCAGTTTGACACTAACAAAGTGTTATTAACAGAATATTTTAAACAGAAGACAGTGGTGTACATCTTATGGAAGAAAGATGAGGACAGACTTCTTAATGCAAATTAGAAAATTCTAGAAAAATGTCCGACAGATGTCTAAAAAACTGATTCTCCCACACATTATATCTCCGGGTGAGACAGCATTAGTCAATATGAGATACTTTTTTTTTTTTTTTAAAGAAATGCACATAAACTTAACAATATATACAATGATTTCTATTGAGATGCCTCTGATGCAGGACCGGAGCCTGACTTTCATTAAATTTAAAGTGCTGTTGAGCACTTTGCCATCAGAGGCTAAGATATTACCACCAATATTAGAAACTTTACTCTGAAAACAACAAGGAAACTTTACTCTTTAAGAGCAAAGAAGAAATTTGTTAGATTTAGTTCTTCAGCCTTCCTGAAGTCTTTCAAAGTTTTATCTTTGGACACTGGCTGCTTTTTCACTAATCTTCACTCCTGCCCTTCTCCCTGATACCTCTCAGAGGAATGTGTTTTTGGTTTGTTCAGCCACTTAACACTGACCTATGAATCATTCAAGCATATTTTATCTTTATGCACTTTCTTATTAGGGGCCTACCACAAAAACACATGATTTGTTCCCATTACTTTGGTTGAATCCACAAAAAATCCCCAAAACAAACACAAGACAATTTGACAGGAATAAAATAGAATTTTTGCACCAACATGGTGATTCACAAATAAACCCAGCAACGGCCTGACACAGGACCCAAGATATGAATCTGCCCCTCCAGTTTATCCATCTACGGTTCATTGAAGGCTCATCATGGTTTCAGTGAAACGGTGGCTGTCAAGAAGCTACTCTTTGGAAATGAGCTTGTGGCAGTAATTTGATAAGAATGAGAGATACTGTTAGATAAATTAGGACAAGAGGCTAACATATTACCTCCAATATTAAAAACTTTACTGTGGGGGAAAAAAACAACTCAACTCTTCCAGAGTAAAGAAGAAATTTGTTAGATTTAGAAAGTGGATATGTTCAATAGTTTATCAGTGGATACGAATAAAAAAAAGCAGAATTATGCTGAATATTGTTAATAAGTTGTGAGATGTAGGATTGTCTGCTTCTTTTTAGTTCGTTGCTGCAATAATGAAGTGAATTCTTATAGATTTCAAAGTCAGTTTATAATGATTTATGATTTTCTCTCTCAGCTCATTTGAGAAACGGCATCAGAAAAGTTATCCAGCACTTCATTTCACGCGGGAGATAGAGCAGCAGATATGGAATTAAAATATCAGATAACTGATGCAGATTTACAGCTGAAAATGTTTTTATATAAAACAGCGATCCCACCACCTGCCTGTTTGTACAGGTCCAATAAAACTACTGGTGGCGGCCACTGGTACCCCTCAGCCTCCTAGCAGATACATCTGTGGTGCCAGTTTTAAAATCCTAGTTGACGTCCTTCTTGAGTTATCGCACATGGATGTCCATGTCGCCGTCCGGCAGGAAGCCAGCAATGCCCCCATTAGCCTTTTATGGCTGCAAGTTAATAAAAACTTTAATGACTGGGTAATGCTTTAATGAGCTCTGTGTTAGCCGTGTCACCAAGACAGGTGTCAGTAATAATGCCAATAATAATAAATATTTGTACATCAAAGGATGTACAAATATCGAGTGTCAAGTTCGCTGCTTACAGCAAACATACATGTAGCACTCACTCTGCAACTGATGCAAGACAAATAAAAACATTAATTTGATTAACATTAATTAAACACTGTTGCCATGTTAAACTTGAAACTGTGAAAGCTACACAAGAAACTGCCGTATAAAGAGATATATCTCACAGAAAAACTGCAGGAGACACAGACTAATAACCTGAGGCATCTAACTCCATCCTACTGCTTAATATAATCTATCACTGTTTTGAATGTAACTAATATATTTCTTCCTGCATTAAGCTGTGGCATCTTTTAGAGTGATAGCACTGTGTTCCTTGTTAGCGCTGAGTTTCAATGATAGATTTTCCAATTCAAATCAATTTTAGCTTGAATAAAGTGATATTGATTTAAACCCTGAATTGATTTGTAAATATAAATGTATTTTGCCAGAAACGCCAGAATCTCAGGTTAAAGCTAAAACAGCAAATGAGAGCAGGTAAACAGATTCCACACAAAGCTCCACACAGTGAGTTGTCGGCTTTCTCACCCGACAGCACGTACACGGACACGCCGTCGGTGCTGATAGCTCACAGCTCACTGATTGTGAAGCTGCAGGTTTTGTCTCTCTCAGACCAAAATTCACTGAAGCAGCAGCAAAAGAAGATCCTTCTTACTTTTGCAGTTTTTCTTCCACCACGATAAAAATCACACTTCATGCACAGCTCTTTCTCTCTCTCAGTGTACTTCAAGAACAGTTTCCCATCTCAAATATCTGTTTTCTGCATTATTTGCTTGCTTATTACGCACCAGTTGTGTACAGCGTGTCGGCGACAAGGAAGCCTCATTTCTGCTGTTCAATACTGAAGAAATTTAAACTTTTTTAAATTATACCAAATTGCAAAACATTTAGCTGTGCCTCTAATAAAACCTCTGTAACTTTGCTCTGCTTCACTTCAGCAGCATCAAGTAATATTCATATGTTGATTCATGTTTTTTTTCAGCTTATGATCTACTACAGAATATTTTTAATGTTTTTAAATTAATTTAATCATCTGCTATAAAAAGCCAGGCCAGGAAAACCTTCATGTTTTTCTGCATTTTATCCTCAGTTACTTTAACACAAAGGAATCTGCTGTGATGCTCACACCTCTGATGAAGTCTCACAAAAGTCAATACTGATAAATGATCAGAATGAAAATATTTCTGACTGTCTGAGGCAAAATTTCCCAGATTCAAATCAAATCGAATCGGGACCCTGTGAATCCGAATCAAACCGATTATAGAAATCAGTGACGACCCACAGCCATGTTCCTTGTGTAATACAATTTACTTTCAGAATTCAAATATATTGTTACTCTATGTCTGCAGTGACCTCTAGTGGTCAGTGTATTTTAATGTTTTATATGAGAGCATCAGGATTTACACACACTAGCTACTTTGGACACCACTTGTTAATGCAAATATGTAAATTTAATAGCCAATCACACGGCAGCAACTCAGTGCATTTAGTCAATGCAACCTGCTGAATTTCAAACAAGCGGCAGTTCTCTGAGTAAAAATGCCTTGTTGAGGTCAGAGGTAGAAGGAGAACGGACCAGACAGCTTCAAGCTAACAGGAAGGGAACAATAACAAAAATAACTACTCATTAACCACTCGTTGTGGGTGGCTGTAGCTCAGGAGGTAGAAATCATCTCAAACTCGATTCTTGAACATGACAATTACTGATATTCTGTATTACCTCCTTTGTGATGTCACTTGCCAGAGCGTGAGCCAAGTGAGCGCTAAAGGTGCTCTTCCCCACACCTCCTTTTCCAGACAACACGAGGATCTTGTGTTTGACTGTTGACAGCTTCTCTCCTATCTCTGCTATAGCTGCAGACACACGGGAACGAGATGTTTTAAGCTCTTAACTAATCCCCTAATGTATCTGCTGAAGCCCAAATATGTATCAAAATATTAAAGTGATGAGATAATAGCACACGGTCTTACCAGGGTCAGGGGCTTTTGTGGCTCCAGAGGCACAGAGTTTCTGGTTGGGACAGCCCTGGCATGGTGCAGACTTGCCGGCTTGCTCACTTGTTGTACCCGGACAGTCTAACAAGGATAAAACAGAATCCAGTCATCAAGATCTGAGCACCTTAAAGAGACCTAAATATCCTAGATCTGCTTCGAGTGGTTGTCGTTAAAATAAAATGCCCTTGACTGTCTTCAATATTCTTTCAAAAATGCTTTCAAACAGATGTAATCATAACTTTGAGATTTTAATGATTTCTTTAAACTGTTCCTTTTCCACAGTGGGACAATTGTACAGCACACATCTGCCTTTAGAAACAATAACTAATTGCACAATTTTGGAATTTTCTTTAATCCATACAGGGTCAAAAATATACATGTAGCATCAAATATATATACACACACACACACACACACACATTCATTTTAATGTTTTATAAATGATGCTTAAGGTTCTTGACAAGGCCAAGGCCTGTTAACTCATTAGTGATCATGATTGACTAAACCTAGTAGTTTGTTGTTGCTCGCATAAAAATGATTTTCTTTGACAGCATTCAGTAGACTGACCAACACTCAGAACAATGGGAAAGTCCCAGGAACTCAGTGAAGACCTAAGAAGGAGAATTTTAAATCTACACATATTGAGAAGGTCTCTTGGAGCCATTTCTAAACAACTGCAGCTTCCAAGATCTCAGTTTAAAGAATTTTATGTAATTGCCAATTTTGCCAATATCTGAAAAAATACCCAAACCGTGACCCTCAGGTGAGAAATTGGTTCAGATGTTCAGGAACAATGCAGGAACCACTAAGGATCAAGCCTGCCGTAAAGTAGAAACTGCTAAAACACCAGCATCACTGTTCACAGTAAAGCGAGTTTTACTGTGAGGGTGCCAACTAAGAAAGAAGTCCCTGCTCCAAAATCCACACCTTCAAACTTGACTGAAATTTATGAAGCGGACAAAATTATGAAGGAGGATTACCTCCCAAGTCTTCAACTTTACCTTACATCAGCAGCTAATCTGGTAGCAGTTGGGTGTTCTAACAGGAAAATGAAGCCAAACACACAAACTGGTTTTGGAATGGATAAAGCAGACTAATATTAAGTCTTCCCGAAGCCCCAACCTCAACCCTACTGAAAATTACTACTTTAAAAGCCAGGTCAAACAAATTTAAATGATCTCTAGCAATCCTGCCCAGAAGAGTGGTCAAATATCCGGAAAGAACTGTTCTAGAAGATTCTTGATGGGTACCTTATTACATCTAGTTTTGCTAAGGGATCGTGTAATAGCAAAAGAAAAGCTGCTCTCATGCGATGGTCCCTTAAAATCATTTATATGCAGCTTAATATAACATTCAGCCAAGACACTACTAAAATGACTTTATTAAAACGTATTCACATAATAAATTATACAACTGCGTAGAAGACTGTCATCGTGACTCAGCAAAACTGGAAGACGTACTGCGATACCCGTTTAAATTCCCTTGTGTGGATATTATGCGCATTTTGACCACAGCAATAAAAACAAACAAGCAAGCTAACAAACAAATACACAAACAAACAAACACTTTAGTGATACATCAAACGATGTCTGATAAGCTTCTAAATAAGCATCACATTCAACTTTCCGAATATCCCGAATTCAACGAATAAATTCATTAAATTAAATTACAACACCTTGAAAATTAATTTATCTAAAACATCCTTATTAATGTCCTTTCAAACACAGACTCAAAGCTATTAATGTTGATAATTCCAACAGAGATAACGGAAGAGGAACAACCGCCGTGTGTTTAACAATCACCGCGACCTTACAGTTAAAAGTAAATTCCTTACATCCACGCACAACTTGAACAACATGACTGAGGTATTAAAACTCAAGAAAAGTAAGTTTAAGGGCTTACGCTCTGAAGCATTTTCTGGTACGTCTGCCATGTTTGCAAGGTGTCCTCCAATTAAAGTCTTCCCCTCCAAACGTTCCGGATACGCAACGTGAAACGTCGATTCTATTCTTCTTGTACAGTTTTAAACAGTTTTATCGAGGGACTGTGACAACAGCACTCAATGTACTCAATACAGTACCGAGCACAACAATAAATATGGAACTAAATAAATAACTACATACATACATACATAAACAATAGATATATCATTTGTACCGGTCTTGTGAATACAAACACTCAGGATCGGTTTGAGGAATTTTTCCTTACATACATCAGCTTGTGAGGCTTTATTTCGAGCATGTTACAATCGTAAAGCAGCTAGATAAAAACTAAAACAAAACAAAAACATAAGAAAGGGAAAAATGAAAAGGATAGGACATAAGGAAATTATAACAAGAAAACATGATAAATTAAAGAAGCAGGAAGAAGCATATTTTTATTTAATCCAGTATTCTCCACTATTTGTTATTAATTATGATCACTGTTACTTCCTGTTTATATCTTGTCCAAATCCCGCGAAAAGCAACAACAACACACTGGCCACTAGAGGTCAATGTAGACATAGTATGACAATTTCAAATTCTAAAACTACTACTGCAACCGTTCACAAGATTTTCAAAAAACCTTGAGGTCAAGGTCACTGAGATTTGAACTCTAAGATTTTTAGTGAAGGCACCTCTGGTATCAATCTGAAAATCCTATGGTGTGCTGTCGGATTCAAAAGACTTTCAGAAAACCTGATCTCTGACTTTGACTTTGAGGTTGAGGTCACCGGGGTTAAAACTCATTTTTAGTAGATACACCTGTGATATCAGTCAACTTAGGTGTCCACGCTGCCCGTCTGCCAAACAGGCAGACAACAATACTGATGAGGTAAAAAGTTTCACCGTTACACGAGGAAGACAACCCTATCGCTCTTAAAAATGCCACAGCTGCATCAAGGAGGCAATTCATTTGTTAAATTATATTCACAAAGATGTTAAATTACACTAATCAGTAATAGGATAGAGTTAGATAGCCTCAGGTTATTAATCAATGTCGACTGCAATTTGTCTGTGAGATAAACTTTGAGGACAATTTGTGATTGTTTGAGTAATTCTTTGTTGTAACAAAGACATATTAGCATTTTAACAATTTATTCATTAAGTGAATATGATGGCCTTTCACACAGATGTGTTACAGAAGAAAATAACTTTTGATAAAGACTTTTTCTATCCATGGATGGGAATTGTATCACTAGAAGCTAACAGAGACACATGCTGTGGTAACGGTGGACCTAATGTAGTTAAAATTTTAATTAATGCGTTATCTTATAATGTAAGATAATATAATGTTATAAAAATGGTGATAATGCCACATTTCTATGGGAATATACACAGTACACGGAGAAAAAACCTAATGGACTGTTCTAAAACAACTTGTGTGTCCACCAGGGAGCGGCGTTGTTTTAATTATGCTCCAACATGTGCTGGGGGTGGGGGTGTGGGATATAAATTTTCAGGTTTAGAAGTCTTGAACTGAAGTTGCAGGTGTGGACAATTAATTTCTCGTAAGGGGATATGTGAGAATCATGGACTGTTGTGGAGGGCCGGTACAACACGAGATTAAGAAAATTAAAATTGAGCAGAACTCAGTTCAACTTATTGTGTCTCTCATGTGACCCCTTGAGAAAATGAATTTCCCACTCCTGATTCATAGTGTATTGTAATAGCTTCCCATATCGATCCTGGAAGGAAACACCAATCCCTTTAAGGTTGCACCAGGAAGGAAAATCTGCCAAATCAAACATAGCAAAGCCAACAGTAGCCACTACTGAAGTCAAAATATTTCTGACAAACCGTGTCGTAATCCTGTACAATTAAAGCTGCTTTTTATGGAATTTCCATGTCACTGTTTTCATTGTAATGACAATAAATTTGGGTACATGACTAATAATATATTGAGAAGTCCAGTGACTCAGGAGGACTGTAGAATTCAGTGACTGTAACCTCAACAATACAGCTAGTGTTCATCTTAAAATAGACCAAAATGACAAATCACAAACATTAACTTTGAAATATTTACTTTTAAACTGCAGATTTCAGATATAAACCCTTTTTCCTCTTCTCATTGTTCATGTGTATTACACACCACATTAAGTGGGTCTTCACAGTTCGCAGCTGTTTGTGTTCAAACACGTTTAAACTTTATGAACAAGGCTGCCTTATTGGCTCTCTGGTATCACAGGAAAAGGTGATTGTTTGCGAGAGTATCATTTGTCCGCCTTTGTAACCGCGAAACAAAAGAGATATGTTGTTTGCTCCAGTATGTGCATGAGTCCTTGGATATGTGTTGAAAGCCAAAGTAGTCTAATAGCATTACCTAGTACTGTTATAGTAAGCACTCATTCATATTTCTAAGGTTTTAACCTGTGTGTCTGTGTGATTTTTCAGTGTATGTGCCTTCCCCTCCTCCAACTGTTTGCAGTGTTCAGACTTTGTAATGTGATATTTTCTTTGTGTTGGCCCTCCCTTTGCTAACTGTCACACTTATTCACACAAACCATTAATAAGCTTTGTGCACTGCTTTGACGTGTGTGGCAGCTTGTTGATCTGCTCTCAGACATGTTTCTGTGTCATCTAAGAAGAAAGGAACACAGCTAAAAATGACTGCAAATTACACAGAAAATAAGTGGAGCACACGAGATGCCAAAAGTCAGTTTCACTAAGACGAGCCTAGTGACTGTAATGACTGTATGAAGAGAAAAACAGCATTACAACTAGAGTGTACTTAAGATAGCTTTGATGTCCTTCCTGTTTCCTTTTCACAAGTCCTCCCCTGCCCTTTACACCCTTTAATGTCAGGAG